TCACTATAGCCTCGTCCTCCGCTGAGAAGTTGTCACTATAGCGGTCCTGCCAGGTACCCAACGGAGGCGGAGACGGGGGGTGGACAGGAGAAGGCAAGGGCGTGGGTAACTTTTTAGCTTGGCTTCGAGTTACCACAGCTCCACCCAATTGGGCGGGGGTGAAAATCGAGTCAATGATGACGTCCTGCTGACTCGCATGTTGGGGAAGGCGGGACAAGCCGTCAGCCAGGGAGTTGGCCGAGCCTGGAAAATGGTGTAATGTGAATTGGAACTTAGAAAAAAAATCTGCCCACCTCAGTTGCTTCGCGTTCAGGCATTTAGGCGATTTGAGTGTTTCTAGGTTCTTATGGTCAGTCCAAACCTCAAACGGTACCCTCGCCCCCTCCAGCCAATGGCGCCAAGAACAGAGCGCCAAACGAATCGCTGACGCTTCCTTCTCCCACACAGACCAGTGCCGCTCAGCCTCCGAAAACTTTTTAGAGACATAGGCAAGCGGGTGCAACATCCCATCCTCTCCCGTTTGCAAGATAGCCGCCCCCATCGCTACATCAGACGCATCAGTTTGAACAATGAACTTTTTAGTTTCATCAGGGTGTGCTAGAATCGGTTCGGATGTAAACAAGTCTTTCAGTCTCCTAAAAGCCTCGTCACACTCCGCTGACCATTTCAGCGGCGCCCCCGGTCTCGTGGCGTCAAACCCCTTCCCTTTAAGTTTTCAGCAAGTCAGTGAGGGGCAATGCAGTTTGGGCAAATCCTTTGATGAAACCACGATAAAAATTCGAGAATCCTTGGAGTTGTCTCCGGGTTCTCGGGGTCTCCCACCCGATTACATCTTTTATTTTCCCTGGGTCCATCTCCAACCCCTCACCCGAGATGCGATAGCCCAAGAAGTCAATGTGTGTTTTATGGAATTCACACTTAGAAAGCTTTGCAAAAAGTTTGTGCCTGTGTAACGTTTTGAGGACCTTTCTGACCTGCTTGATGTGTGATGGGAGGTCACGTGAATAAATCAAAATGTCATCTAAATAAATAATCACTCCCTTAAACAGATGCTCATGTAGGACCTCGTTAATCAGGTTCATGAAGACCCCAGGAGCCCCTTGAAGGCCGAAGGGCATAACGAGGTATTCAAATTGTCCCAAGGGAGTGTTGAAAGCGGTCTTCCCCTCATCCCCCTCCTTTATACGCACTCGAAAGTACGCATCGCGCAAGTCAAGCATGAAAAAAATTCTCCCTTTAGCCGCTTCTGCAAGCAAGTCTTTGATGAGTGGGATGGGGTATGCATTCGTGTTTGAGACTGCGTTCAGTCCCCTGTAATCAGTACATAGGCGCAGACCCCCATCTTTCTTTTTCCGAAACAAGACAGGTGCTGCAAAGGGCGAGGATGCCGGCCGAATAAAACCTCTGTCTAGGTTTTTGTCTATAAATTTTCTGAGTTATTTTTCGGCCGGCCCCATAGCATAAATTTTCCCTTTTGGTAGTTTGGCTCCTGGAACGAGTTCAATACTGCAATCAGATTTTCTGTGGGGTGGAAGTTCGTCCGCCTCCTCCTCCCCGAACGCCAGGGCCAAGTCATGATACTCAGGAGGCAGGATGGCCAGTTCTTGCGGAGTCAACACCCCACACGGGAATTCAATGGCCGGGGAAGCACCCCAATCTGTTTCCCATTTATGTTTCCGGCACTTAGGGGACATGAATTCAATCTTGCCCTCTTCCCAAAGTATGTAGGGATCGTGACTGTAGAGCCAAGGGGCTCTCAACACTAGGGCAAATTGGGAGTCTGGAGTAACAATGAAAGAACGTTGTTCCCAATGCTCCCCGGCTCCCAGCCTTAAAGGCATAGTCTCGTGTAGGCAAGGTTTCATCGGAGCCCCATCCATTTGCGTGAAAATGATTGGGGATTTCAATTTTTTGATCCCCGCTTTCCAACCCTGTTACTACATTGGGGCTAATCAAGTCTCTCCCACACCCTGAGTCAATAAGTGCTTTTACTCGTACATGAGTCCCCAATATCGGATTAATTAAAGAAACAGTCACAAAGAAAAGCGAGGGGGGTTCTCTCACCACTATAGGTGCCTCCGATTGCGAGCCCTGTTGCCGTGCACCATCTACAACAGGCCATGGTCATTTCCCGACATCTCCGGCTCTGATTCTGTGGAGTCCTCTTGTGCGTCTTCGGGTGCCGCTTGTAAGGCTTTTGAAAACTTGGGTTTCGCCAGTCCCTTCTTGACCGGTGTTGTAGACTTGACTTTGGTCGTTGGTGTCTTTTCCTTCTGTTGCCGTTGGCCACAATCCGCTGCAAAGTGGCCCCGCTCTCCACACTTCAGACAAAGCCCCAATTTCATCCGCAGGTCCCGGGCTGCCTCCGTCAGTCGAGATGTCTTCGGTTTCGGGGTTTGGTGCTGGCTCACCTTCCCTCCGGCCGTGGCCATGTCCAGGCGTAGAGTTTGAAGGCGGCTCTCGGCATTCTCCGCTTCTTGCGTCCACGCCATAAGGGATACTGGGTCCACTGAGCGAAGTATCTTCTCTCTGATGTCTGGATTCAGGCCCACTCAGTACATTTCCACCAGGACATGGTCAGGCCAGTTTTGTAGCTTCGCCGCTTGATTCTGGAACTCAGCCGAGTACTCCCTCACCGACTGGCGGCCCTGTTTGAACGTGCGCAAAAAAGCCTTCGCTCTTTGCCCCGCATTGACATCTTCAAAATGGGTTCTCAGTGCCCACATAAAAGTTCGTAGGTCGTGTAGTTCTGGACCCCTGCTGTTGTGCAAGCCCACATACCAGGTTGCTGCTGCTCCTCTCAGTCTCACTGCAATCACATCAATCTTGCTGCCGTCCGTCGGGAAGAGGTGCCCATGTTGAACCACAAACTTTTGCACCCTCACCGAAAAAAAGCCAGCTCTTCGGGGTTGCCATCAAACGTTGCCTCTAATAAGTCCTTTGGCCGCGCTCTCCCCGGAGCTGGTGGTGGAGGGGGAGGTCTGGGAACCGGTCCTCCCGGAGCTCCGGGGGGTGGAAGCACCGGCCCCGCTGGTACCACCGGTTGAGCTGCCGGCTGTGCCGGAATCACCTGCTGCTGCGCCGCTTGTCTTGCCAGGGCAGTTTCGATGGACCGCTCCATCATGTTCGGGAGTGCATCGAACACCTCCCCCACAGTCTGCATCAGTTGCTGCAATGTCTTGTCGATGTCCTCCACCCGTTCTTCCAAACCTTCCCGTTCTTCTTCGGGGTTGGTTCGACTGTCTCGCTCCTTAGAGCGCCCTGTCACCCAGGGTTCTTCCGCCACTTCCCGCTGGTCGCCCATGAGGCCCAAGCCTCTTCCTTGATACATCCCTTGCTCGAATAGGCTCTCTCACAAACCGCTTCCTCGGTGCGAAAAAGTCTCTCTGGTGCCCCGCATGTCAAATTGAGTCCAGTCATCCCATGCGGGTCTCGGCCCCTTCTGCCACCGCGACGGGGAGAATGGCCAAGCGACTGAGGTGGTTTTCGGCACTGCTCCCCCCTCGGCTCCACTAGCTGGGACTGTGGTCACCGGGGTGGCCGAGGTTACTGGGGTGCTGCCGGTATCCCCCTCACAAGTGGGTATCTTCTCCTCTTCTCCGCTCATGATGCAAAATCAGACTCGGAGTGATGAAGAAAGGGGATTCGTAACAAAATGTCCGATTCTCCACGCATTCAGATAAATCCACATTTGAAACAAAGTAGCATTTATTAAAGCAAAGGTGAAACAGGAACACAAGGATTGTTACGAATGGAAGTTACCTCTGGGGTACAAGATAATAAGCAAAATCAAACCAGGCCATGGCCAATGGGTCTTTTTCCCACGTGCGGGAAAGCAGGTAAAACCGGCGCCCAAACCCCTGGGAAACAAACGGTCCTGAACATAAACAATAATTCGGTTCTCAAGCTACAGCACATAATAATCCAAGCAACGCCAAAACTCAGTCCAACCTCCAGCACTTGACCTTGGGCATTATCTAAGTTTCAAAGCCTAGCAGACATGGAAGGAATGTACCTAATGAGCACAGCAGAAGCAACATGGATACACTCGCTGATGCAGGAGGGGGGTTGGAATGAATGCTAGCTGGGAACATAAAATGTTACACAGAACTTCATGGCAGCTTGCTGACACTCTGGCACGCATGCCATAGATTCGACACCACTGACCTAGGGGCTCAGAGGAGGTTTTGCTGGCTGTCCCTCAGGGGGTGTGGAGGCCCTTGCCTCCCCCCCCACCTAGGCACCTACTTGCGAGTAGGAGAGGAGCCCTTTTTGGTCAGCTAAGGGGTAGGCGTGGAGATTGCCAAGGGGAGAATTCTCTTTCTCAGAAGGCAATTGAGCCAGAGTAGGTATGCTGTTACAAATCTTAGGGGGTTCTTTGCTTAAGTTTCGGTTCTTTCCTGAACTGGTGGGTCTCTCTCAGAGTTCTTCACACTGTTCTCTGTGAGGTTTGTTGGGGGAAGGTTTGGGACCATTTTGTTGGGAAGGCCCATTTTTTTGGAGAGGGAGTTGTACTGCTTCAGGACTGGACTGGGGCCTGGGAGCGAAGTCCCTCCCCTCCAGGAATCTATACTACCGGCCTCCAGGGAGGAGCTTCTCCCCAGAAGTACAGACTGTCCCACCCCAGGACCACGTTAAGGGAGACAAATCTTCCATTCTCATGTGTGATTTCTAACCAAAGAAACTTGTGACTGGAATAGCCATTGTTCTTTTTCTCCCTCTCATGGTTCTCTGCTTGGGAAGGGATATGGGATGAAATACACTGTGTCCCTATAGGTGTTTATTGTGTAATTTTGTCTGTCTTCTCTTGAAGCACGCAGGAAGACTGTGTCACGTTTCAAAAGGGCAGGAGGAGGCAGGAGACCCTGTTGACCAAGGAGAGGGAGACAGAAGTGGGAGGAGGCCATGACTGGCAGGAGAAGGGAACCAAACAGGCCAGAGGGTGAAATCCCCCAGCTGATGCCGTTTCTCTTCTTGTCTCCTCATTTTCCCCCCAACAGCAAATGTGACTCTGGATCCAGACACGGCCCATCCCGAACTCATCCTGTCGGAGGGACAGAAAAGCGTGAGAGATGGAGGAATAGCTCAAGCCCTGCCCTACAATCCTGAGAGATTTGACAAGTGTAGTGCTGTGCTGGGCCGTGAGGGATTCACAGGAAGCCGCCATTTCTGGGACGTCCTTGTGGGAACTGAGGAAGGCTGGGCTGTGGGGGTGGCCAGAAAGTCTGTGAGGAGGAAGGGTGGCTCCATCATTAATCCTGGGGAAGGGGTCTGGGCTGTGGGGAAGTGGTCAGGGACGTACCGGGCTTTCACAAATGAACAAAGGCATCCCCTGACCCTGACCGGGGAGCTGAAGAGGATCCGAGTGTGCCTGAACTACGCTGGGGGGCGAGTGGCCTTTTTTGACGCTGACCAAACAGCCCTGCTCTACAAGTTCTCTGGAGCATCCTTCCTCGGAGAGACCCTCCTGCCCTTCTTTTGGGTGTCTCAAAAAGGCCACCTCAAAATTTCTTCTTAAGACCTTTTTTCACACCTGGACCATCAGTAAGAAAATATTATTTCTCAAAGAGCCCCCCTTTTTTTGAGTCCTGTAAAGATGTCTCCTGTCTCCAGCCACCAAAACTGAGTAAAATTTAAACATTTTTTCCTTCCATCACCCAACATTCCTTTTTTAATTTGTTATTTCTCAAAGTGACAGTAACACCTTTCACATTGTGAAGAATATCAGGCTTGTTCTAAAGTTGAGATTCAAACAGACCCCCTGGGCCCTCTCCAGCATCCTTTCTTCTCCCTCCCCCCCTCTCCCCTCCCCTCCCCCTGGGAATTTTTGTATTTATATATGCGTGCGTGAGTACCTGGGAGTCATGTTGACCTCTGGTGACTGATCCCGACCAGGGACCTGGAGGATATTCAGGGAGGTGTCTGAATGAAGCCTGCCCCCAACTCCTGATATTTCAGGAGAAATCTGAGAATTCTTGGAGAACAGGTGCTAGAAGACTGGAGGCAAGCAAATGTTGTCCCCATCTTCAAGAAGGGGAAAAAAGAGAATCCGGGTAACTACTGATCTGTCAGCTTGATGTCTGTACCTGGAAAAAAAAGTTTTAGAACAAATAAACTATCAGTCCTTGAGCACATAGAAAGGACGGCTGTGATTACTAAGAGCCAGCATGGGTTTCTCAAGAACAAGTCATGTCAGACTAATCTTATCTTTTTTTGAGAAAGTTACTACCTTGCTAGATCTGGGGAATGCTGTAGACATAGTTTATCTTGAATTCAGTAAGTCTTTTGATAAGGTTCCCCATACTAATGTGGTTTGGATCCTATGACTGTTAGGTGGATCTGTAACTGGTTGACCGATTGCACCCAAAGAGTGGTTGTGAATGGTTCCTCATCCTCTTGGAGAGGAGTGACAAGTGGAGTGCCTCATGGATCTGCTCTGGGACCTGTTTTGTTCAACATCTTTATCAGTGATTTGGATGAAGGAATAGAGGGAATGCTGATTAAATTTGCAGATGACACTAAATGGGAGGGGGTAACAATTACGGCAGAAGACAGTCAGGATAAAGGATGATCTTGACAGGCTGGAAAACTGGGCTGAAACAAATAACATGAATTTCAACGGGGATAAGTGTAAAGTTCTGCATTTAGGTAGGAAAAATCAAATGTGTAATTATAGGACGGGGAAGACTCGTCTTGGCAGTAGTATGTGCAAAAAGTATCTGGGGTCTCAGTAGACCATACACTGAACATGAGTCAGCAGTGTGGGATGCAGTTGCTAAAAAGGCAAATATGATCTTGGGCTGTATCAACAGAAGTATAGCTTACAGATCACGTGAAGTGATGGTATCACTTTATTCTGCTCTGGTTAGACTTCACCTGGAATATTGTGTTCAGTTTTGGGCAGCACAATTTAGGAAGGATGTAGACAAGCTGGAACGTGTCCAGAGGAGGGCAACGAAAATGGTGAGGGGTCTGGAGACCAAGTCATATGAGGAAAGGTTGAAGGAGCTGGGTATATTTAGCCTGGAGAGGGGATGACTGAGAGGTGATATGATAATCATCTTCAAGTACCGGAAGGACTGTCATATAGAGGATGGTACAGAGTTGTTTTCTGCTGCCCCAGAAGGTTGGACCAGAACTAACGGATAGAAATTAAATCAGAAGAGTTCTTGGCTAAACATCAGAAAGAACCTCCTGACAGTGAGAGCGGTACCTCAGTGGAAGAGGCTTCCTCGGGAGGTGGTGGGCTCTCCTCCTTTGGAGGTTTTCAAACAGAGGCTAGATGGCCATCTGACAGCAATGCTGATTCTGTGAACTTAACCACAAATATACTAGCACTAAAAAGAACCCAATCCAAGTGCTGTACAAAACACGAGTTTGTATTAAAAATATATATCTTTCTCCAAAGTTTTGTTCATACAAAAATATTACAAAAAGACACAGTTTCAAAGAGTGTAACAACAAAGGCAACGTAGGTTTAAAGACACCATGAATGCAGTACAATATCTTGTGCCTAGGCACACAATTCCAAAATAAAAGTCTAACTGTCTTAACTCCCATGTTGCCTAATAGAGGGCACAGCCATATAATTAATGTTCTTTCCTGACGGGGTGTGTTTACCTTCTTTCTCCCATTTCTCAAAAGAGCTTTGTCTGAGAAGTGACTGTGACCTGTGTAAAATACAAAGCACGTGCCTAGAAAATTCTACTCAGTTACCTGTTTAGCAACACTGAGTTACAAATATCTTAAAAGGTTTTTACTGGTCTGTGGCAACACTTTTTCTTTCAATCTTAAGATCAGTAGCCTGAAGGCTACAGTTTTCTTTCCAAATTCTTTGGCATTCTAAAACCCCACCTAGAGGGATACCTTAAAACCTAAAGGTTCAGATCCCCGGTGTTGCTAATCAGAACATCTTCAATCCACTTAAAAATACAATATCAAAGAAAGCTTCAAATATACTCTTAACTTATAAGGTACCTGCACTACTAATTTATAAGAAACCAGAATATTTTGCATATTAAGATCAGTTGGATACAGTGTCTGTAAACAAAAAATTAGTCTTGCCTCCTGCTGTAATAATATCTGATGACTCAGCATTTTTAAACTGCCTCCCCACATATTTAAAAAGCATCTTTAAAAAAAAAAAACACTCTAGGCTTCAGGCTTATTATAAAGTAATGTTACATTGAAAAATCTGCTTGAATTGGGTTTTTTTTGGGGGGGGTGGAGAAGCCCCAAAGGATGCTGTCGTTTACTGACTTGATCCATCCCCCACTGCTGGACCTCCTGATGGCACTGGTATTTCTGGCTACTGTGTGATACAGAGTGTTGGACTGGATGGGCCTTTGGCCTGATCCAACATTGGTGTCTCTTATGTTCAATGTGTACCTGGTTCTCTTGGTTCCCAGGCTTCATTAAAAAGTAAGTCTCTAGACCTTTCTGTTGTGAAAATACACAAGTTAAAGGCATTGATTTAATGATATGATACTGCTGATTTTTTAAAAAATTGTAAAAGCCCCAGTGGCTCAGGGGAAGGTGGGGGGAAATGTGGGGGAAACCTGCTGCGTAGGTGCCCCAGGGTTCCTGCTCTTTATCAGCAGTTTCACCAGCAACTGGGGAAACGGGGCAAGCCCCCTGAAGCACCTGGTTCTCTCTGGAGGAGGCAGGGGACTTCAAGGGAATGTAAATCCTGCTTTTTCTTTTATCCGCCAAGGTACTTATGCTGTGAAGCACAGGAACTATTAGGGAGGTGTTTTTGATTCTGCTTTCTGAGAAACACCTTGAATGATAGGAGAAGAGGGGCATTCATTTTTTAAAACTAATAATTACAGCTTGGGTTGATTAGAAATGTCCTTCCTGGGATACAGGAAACACTTGAACAGCTGTAGTGGTCCATGCAATCCCCCAAACAGGAACAAAATCCATGTAATTCCTTTTATTAGGAACAATCCACTTGGCAAAAAACATTGTGCCAGGTTTGGCACACACCATAGGTGGTCTTCATGCTAGATGTTACAACCTTTAAAATGTTTTTTTTTTTTGCCATCAAGTCACAGGTGACTTAAGGTGACCCCATGGGGTTTTCACTGCAAGAGACCATCAGAGGTGGTTTGCCATTGCCTGCCCCCGCCTCCCAACTGCTGGTATTCCTTGGAGGTCTCCCATCCAAATACTTGCCAGGGCTGACCCCGCTTAGCTTCCAGGATCAAGCTAACCTGAGCTAATCCAGGTCAGCGATTTTAAAAAGATAGAAGGGTAGAAATCTGATTCTTTAGTCTATGATGTGAAGGTCCGATCTCTCGTGCATCATCTGAAATAGAATAAGATCTGGATTAAGAGCCACTAGACACGCTCAACCCACTTTGTGCCTCTGCTCATTTTCATGTGATTTGGGTATTTGTGTAAATGCATTCTCCGGTCTCTACCAATGCTCCCTCTAACCCGGGGATGTCCTATGAGCAAAAATTCTGCTTTGTGAGCTGCTGGCATTAAAGTTGTGAGTGAGCGATTTGGCTGCTGCATGAATTAGTCTGCTCTGGAGCCCTCCTTCCTGAGCTAAGACAAAAACGTGTGAGCCGGAGGCTAAAAAACTGAGCTAACTTGCGCTAACTCAGCTTAGAGGGAACACTGGTCTCTACTGTCAGAGGCTTATTTACCCATTTCAATTCTGAAATCCCATCAGAGGTTCCTAGTAGGGGCATGTATTTGGTTTATCCAAGCCGAAAAATAATAATCTTACAGGTATTTTTCTAGTATTTTAAAGCCAAATACAGACCAGAGATCTTTGTTCAGCTACCGATATAGCTGACTAGGCCCATAAACAGTGGTGGGGCACTGAGGCCGGCACACCTGCAGAATTTGCAGCACCCCACACCCTCTCTTCACTGGGCTCATTTTCATCCTTGCCCTCGGTGAGGAAAAGTCACCCAGTTGCACAAGGAGAAGGAGTATGGGTTGGGTGTTTTGAAGGAGGGGTGAGGGAATTAAAAGAAAGGATTGGCTGGTGGGGAAACACAGGAGGGAGGACACCCCCCCGATACCCCCCCATGCCTGTTCTCTGCATTGATCCAAATGCAGCTGCAAGATAACAGACCCAGCCTGGAGGCCTGCAGATTAGCTCATTTCATTTAATTTCATTAGCAGTGCCCTGCTGGGTGCCCTGGCATGCCCTCCCCCCAAAAATCCTGGCTATGGGGCTGTAGCTGACCCTGAAAAAGCCAATTTTGTTTTGGTTTTTATTTGGGTGCATTCAGCATCAGAAGGCATTTAAAGAGATTGTGTTTTCCAACTAGGGTTGCCAGCCTCCAGGTGGGGCCTGGGGATCTCCCGCTTTTATAACTCGTCTCCAGCTGACAGAGGCCAGCTCCCCTGGAGAAAATGGCTGCTTTGAAGGGTGGTCTCTATGGCATTGCACCATGCTGAGGCCCCTCCCCTTTCCAAACCCTGCCCTCTCCTGGATCCAGCCCCCAAAGTCTCCAGGTATTTTCCAAACCAGACCTGGCAACCCTATCTCCACCAAGCTCCACCTCCACAGCACGACTCGGAGAGTGAACTCAGAAGGCACTTGCTGAGCCGCATTTGACAGGGACAGAGGCACCTGCTGAGTTGTGCCGCCACTGCTGCGCTTGGAAAATGCAGTAGGCACTTAAAGAGACTGTGGTCTCTTTAAATGCCTACTCCCCTGAGCTCTGCCATGGCAGCGGCACGACTCGGCTAGTGAACTCAAAAGGCATATGCCTTCTGCATTCACTTGCTGAGTCATGCTGCCACCACTGCACTTAGAAAAAGCAGTAGACATTTAATTGTTTGTTTCCTTTAGGAAATCTTCCCTAGGC